CTTGATGTCATTTGGAGAATATTTTTCCATGATTGCTTAGGTATCCAGGTGAGCGATACAGGCACTCTGGGCCTCTTGTTTAAGTTTTGCATTTTTTTGAATTTACTTGTCATATTTTGATGCCATTCAGCTGAGAAAAAAGTTGAAAGAGGGCTAATAAACGCTTCACTGTAAAAAAAAAATGTGTTATTTATGATTCTTGGTATCACAGTTTGAAACCATTTTCATGGAGGTGAATTTTACACTTGAAATATACACAGGTTACTGCATCAAGTATACAGTGTGAGTAGGACCATCAACTTAGTCAATGGTCGAAGGTTGTGATTGGGAAAAGATTATTTTTGAAATCGGATCAGAAGAATTCAAGTGTTAGCTAGTTTGTGTAATGTGATTGTCAAGATTTGATTCAGATAGGTAGGTTGTAGTGTACTCTACCCTGCACGACTTCAACTTTCAATGTTTCTCTGCAGTAATGATTGTATTTCAATATCACGACTCCTGCATAATACTTTTTACCCAGCCCTCTAATGGGAGGGGTCAAAACTTACCTCTTCACGTGATAGGTGGATCAAGTTTTATACCGATGGATTGTAGATAAGATATTCATTTTAATTTGGAATTCAACATCATAAATTTAAATAAAAACTTCTCATCTGCAACCCGTAAAGATGAGGCTCGTTCGTTTCCATTCATGAATGAGTTTGTCTTGCCTGAGTGGGTATTTAAAGGGCTGCAGTGTGGACCTGAGAGAAATCATCTCACCTGGAGCTTACGAGTTTACCTGTTGCTTCCTTATCCATGTACAGTAAACCGTCTCCATTCGGACCTGAACCTCACCTATTAGATTTCAGGTCCAATTATAATTGTCACTTTTATGGTGCAATAATAAATGTTTTAAAGCTCAATAAAAACTGGCAATGAAAACAATATTGTCTTAAAACATTTAAGATTTGCTGAAAAGCTGGTTTAGTTTATTGTCTGTATGACTCTTAATGAGCAGTCCACTTTATGGCATGGATGACATTTAAGAATGAAATAGAAATACATGTATTAAGGAAGCTTTTCAAGGAGTTGTGTGAAATAAAAAAAAATTCAACCTGACAGTACAAGTTAAAAAGCTTTCAATTGAGATTAAAAAAAAGTTTTGTTTTTTTTTCAAAATATTTTTTTCTAGTTTTGAGTTCTTCCCCGTCTCTTCCATACGATGGCCGAAGGCGGCCAGGCACTTTTGAAGCATTTATAGTTCGTTTGTGTACCATGGTACACTTTTGTGTGGTACACAAACGAAGTATTTATAGTTCGTTTGTGTACCACGGTACACTTTTGTGTGATACACAATCGAAGCATTTATACTTCGTTTCGGTACCGTTAGCCGAAAGCGGCCGGACATATTTGAAGCATTTATGTTTCGTTTGTAGTCCGTTAGCCGAAAGCGGCCGGACATATTTGAAGTATTTATACTTCGTTTGTGTACCACGGTACACTTTTGTGTGATACACAATCGAAGCATTTATCATTCGTTTCTGTACCGTTAGCCGAAAGCGGCCGGACATATTTGAAGTATTTATACTTCGTTTCTGTACCACGGTACACTTTTGTGTG